GAGAGAGAGAGAGAGAGAGAGAGAGAGAGAGAGAGAGAGAGAGAGAGAGAGAGAGAGAGAGAGAATGAATTCGTCCACATGTGCAGGTTCAACTATCCAATCCTCCCGCGGAGATTCATTCGTTTCGTGTATTGGCACTGTGCAAATTGGCCAATACTTCCCGCATTCCTGTGGGAGATTCATTTGTTTCTTGTATTGCAACTTTGCACCGCGTCCACAGAGAGATAGATAGATAGATAGACACACACAGAGAGAGAGAGAGAGAGAGAGAGAGAGAGAGAGAGAGAGAGAGAGAGAGAGAGAGAGAGAGAGAGAGAGAGACCAAGCGCTGCAAAGTGGCAATACAAGAAACGAATCGTCCCCCATTCCCGTGGGAGATTCATTTGTTTCTTGTATTGCCACTTTGCACCGCGTCCACACACAAACGGAGAGGATGGCTTGACCCTTCCAGCCTATGCCATCTCTACTTGAATCGTACAGGATTCTGACATTCAGTTCACGGCCATGCGTAGGAGCGAGCGAGTCAATAATTTGAGTGCATAACCCACATTGCCTTGTGGCTAGTATGAGCCGTTCCGTTGGAGGCGGCCCAAACTCTGAGATTTCTAACCTAAAACTTGGGCGAGGGGGAGGCGCACTATATTGTCACGACTTTAGTGTGGATCGTTCATACAAGGTGAAAGTCATTGAAATCAGAGAGGGTTGATTCACATCCTCCTTCCCTCCCTTTCTTTTCTATCCCACGTCTTTCTCCTACCTCATCCTTCACACCTCGGCTGAAAACCCCGAAGGTTGCCTAGGGCTACAACTTGCCTTTGTCCAACCAAGATAGGCTTGGAAATGTAAGGGCACCCTGGTGGAACATCAGGCACTTCGTCGATGGACCATCTTTCTGGGCTGCGTGTAATTGTCTACTAGGAAGGGAGCCAACCCGGACGAGTACTTAAGTGATATGCTCATCCAGGTTGGTGACCTCGAGCCAGTCACTAGGCTCGAGTTCTCACCTAAGAGGCGTTGTCGGAGGGCGTGGTGTCCCGACCCTCCGCGGCGTACCAGGCTTCCTGCTCACAAAAGTCCGCGACGTACCAGGCTCCCTGCTCATGAACCTCCGCGGCGTACCAGGCTCCCCGCTCACGAACCTCTACGAAGTACCAGACGCCTGCTCACTACCCGCGGTAGTACCAGGCACACCTTACATGCGGATGGTTTTCCCTTTGCATTGCACCTGTCATACTCGGTGCTCTGCTACAGGATTGGTCCAATCGATTCACCCACGACGAAAAGGTGGGGGTGCACTACAGGACTTTCCTTTGGTCCACGCAGACCCGACGCTGTCGAGCGCATCGGTCCCGCGCAGGGCGGGACCCTCCCGACCGCATCACGTAGGAGTTGGACTTACTCGCGATACACATGGAGCTTCCGCAAGCCGCTCCGGCCGAGTGCACCAGCCATACCTCTCACGAGCCCCTACGACAAGATAGGGTCAACGCGAGGTACAACTTACCTTCACGTGCGGGAGTTGTCACCTCCCTTCGGTGGGCGTATCCCCGCCGAGCTACCAGTCAATAGTACGAAAGCTAATCAGTTACAATCGCAGAGGTGGACCAGCCGAGGGTGTTTCTTGTTCGTTGTAGCATAGGGGGCACGCACGGTCTTACGCCTCTATCAAACCCGCACGCGAACCGACTCACTGGGGGGCTGAAGTCCCAAGCGCGACTCTTCGTCGGTCGACAAGGACGCATCTCACTCACCACGCGTTACACCACGCTTAAAACATAAAAATAAAACACACTCACACACATATATGAAACGACAGAAAACAAAACAAAACAACCCAAA